TGCAAGGAAAAGACACCTCACACTGAGTAAGGAATGAACGGTACTCGGCCGGCTTACAGCACAACAGGGTGGGTTGTTGACTCTAGGCTCCGGTGAGGCATGGTACTTGGCAAGGGGCGTTTTAGCGCAGAGATGTAATATCTATTGAGTTAGTTCGGCCACCTGAGTGGCGAGAGACTCCACAGCATGACGGGAAGCAGCGAACTCATCCTCTTGACGGCCCAACATGGTTCCCTGAAGCGCGAGGGCGGACTGGAAATGACTCTCCTTTGCTGGGTCCATGAAGTGGCCGGAGTACTCTATCATGAAGAGAGTGAGAGAGAACCCAAATGCAAAGGCAGATCAAATGTCTCTTTAATGACTCAGGGGAGCCACTTGGCAATAATCAGAAAACAGAAGCCGACAGGCAAAAACAGTTCAAACGGAAAGTTTGTAGATAAAGACAACTGAAGAGCATCTGCACACTAGGCTCAGGAAATCCCCTGGAGGATGCAGAGAAGCGTCCGGGCAGCAGATGACTTTAGTCGGACCCGACAGCCAGAGACAGGGCAAGCAGATGAAGATCAGATAACTAATCAGGAGACGGCACATACCACAGTGGACACGACAGGACTGGAGAACAACAGAGAAACATCAGGCATGTAACATATTTCAGAAAATACTCCGGCAGGGAACAAAGGAAAAGAGGGAGAAGAAATAGGGCGAGAAATCAGAAGGAAGAGAGAACAGGTGAGCGTTAACGAGAGCGAGGGCTGAGCGAGGAGAGAGAAAAGATGTAAAGAGTGAAAAAAACAGGAGAGGGAGTAAGAGAGAAAGAAAAGGGAAAAGGGAAGAAGCGCGACTCATGAACATTTTTATTTTTCTTATTCACAATATTTATAATTTTAAACGAATGTGGCAGCTCATGCCAACTTTATTGTATAAACAAAAACTAGGACTGCTATTTAATATACCTTATAGGCCTGCAGTTCATTCATTAGTACTAGTCATATTCTTACAATTTTGTATAATTCAGTGAATTAAATGTCTATTTATCGCACTTGGCAAAAGTCTATGTTATTATTTGAGAAATGTAGGCCTATTTATTATTTTCTCCACTGCTTCATTAGTCACTATTTTTTTTTCCACTACCGCTCTGCTCCATCATCACTAAATTTTAACGTTTATTGTTTTATGTCTTCCTCATTATAGGCCCTGAATAGGTCTGTTGTATTCAGTTGCTTGTGGTTACTATTGAGAGATTTTGAGCATGTGAGCATGTACAGTCTGCAAATATGTTTGTGTGAGAGAGAGATGAGAGGATTGGAGAGAAAGGGAGCTGTATAAAGAAAAAAAGAAAAAAACTGTTTGAGTTTGTTTAGGAATGTGAACCAAAAAAAGGAGAGCTAGACATTCCTGAGCTGGAGCAGTGGCCATTTGTCAAACAAGGACAGAGAGCATCTGGTACTGATGGAGAGCAGATTGATGTAATACAACACTTGGGCTTATGGGTAATGTAGTCCCTACTGAGATTTATTTTTGGCTGTGTCGAGAAAAATGAGTAAGACTCAAAAAGGAAGTCATAGAATAGTTTCCAAAGTGGTTGAAGCGAGAACGGTGTTAAAGTGCCAACTTTGCTCTTTTTGTTTTAGTTGGCCTGAAAAAATGTTCCCCATCAGACTGCTGTTACAGAACTGATCTCTCTGATTTAAGAGGCTATTTACACTTAATGTGTCTTAATCATCTGAACTGCTTTGCCCATTTTTGGCATTTATATTTAGCCAAGTTTAGTGATGATGCTAATGCTGTTTGGGATAAGGAAAGTTTACGTACGTGGCCTGAAAACCCGGTTTAATCTTTGAATGCATCTCAAGTGTTGTTTATTTCTGTTTATCTTCACCGTTTTTATGAGAAAATCAAGGGTTTAATTTTTTTTGCCCCTCTTTCAATTATTCATGTTATTTTGTATTGTGTGTCAGTGGCCATGCATGTTTTAGTGCAAAAGAGAGTGATTGAGGAATCCAGATCTGGTTTCTGAGTCCTCTTTTTTTCCCTGTATAAAACTTTAAAGAGCTTGTTGCATTATTCACTAATTCAACCACAGGACACACATGCATGCTTACATTGAGACCCTGCTTCTACTTCTGCCTGTGTGTGTGTGAGTGTGTTTTGGTTCACTGAATGTTATAGGTGATGTTTGACTTTAATGGCTGTAGTGGGAGAGTGTGTGGTGATTTAACAGGACTTGGGGGAGTATTTTTGCCGAGCTTGGTCAGTCTGCTGGATATCATTATGAACTTCTGGCAAGAAGTTTTGATGTTAAATCACATATGACAGTCAAAGACAGTCTTTTGAAATCCACCAGGATATTCTCATGTTCATGGCATGCGCTCACAGACTGGCAAGGCTAAGCTTAATTCATTCTTCTGTCATTAGTTCCATGGTAGCAAATCTACGTCTAGTGTCACTTTACATTCCACATTCACGAGTAAAATAATTTACCTTTTAGGGTGATTATTGGATATACTGTTTATTACAGCAATAAACATCTTACTTAAAGAGGTGAAAGAGTAAGTAAATTACAGAAAAGTGGGAGGAGGAAGAGGGAAATGTCTGGCTCTTATTTGAGCGTTACTGTTGGATCAGCAAACACTAAGGCCCAGCTGTACTCCCACATCACTGTGTTAAAACACACACACACACACACACACACTGGAAAAAAAAGAGTTCTGGTTGCTTTAGTTTAAGAGTTTAATATGTTAAACTGTAAGCTTTATACACTCAAAAGGCAAGCCACATTTTCACACTTCAACACCATTTACTTACAATGCAAATGACAAACAAAACCATGTTGAGATTTCCAACTGCTTATTCAGCCAAATCTCACGGCAATTCATACGTATTTTACGAGATGGCTAATTCATTCAAATTCATTCGAACTCGTAAGATTTTTGCTAAATAGCACATATTTTCAGAGTTGCCCAATTCGTATGAATTTGTACAAATTAGCCATCTCATACTCGTACGAATTGGCCATGAGATAGCGTTGGCTTCACTCTTATTTTCATCACTTTTGTTTAAAGAGAGTGCATTGTCTTTCATTTTAGAGAACAGAGCAGTGTATTTTTTGTAGGCACGGCCTTCTGTCTCGCTCTCTCTCTCATTTTTAATGTGGTAGAATAATTGAATTATTGAACGCCCTCTGTCTCATTCTCAGCTATTTATAGAGAGATGCTCCAGGCACAAGTTTGTATCCAATACTTTACTAATGGTAATCTAACATGTAGTGTCATAATTGCTGCCGGTCTTCAAATCTTAAACTGCTGTGATTGTCCTTCATGTTCATGATTATGTTTTCACACTGGTTTAATATTACATTTACTGCAATGCAAATCACTGCAATCTGTATATTGGTATACTAGCAGCACACTGCTTCAAACACAAACACACTGAAATACAATTCAGTGTCAAGTCAAGAACTAATATGGCAACACAAATATAAAAAACATGTTCAAGAAAAACAAAGGTGGATGTGTTTTGTTCTAAAAGTCCTCAAGTTTAGTTCACAGATATCAGAAACCGCTGTATGGTGATGGTGAACGATATTGCATTTTTTTTGCCCAGATGAACAGTGCTAAGGAATTCTGTGTGGGCGTCGTATGGTTTTCTGGCTGTCATGCATCCCGTTGGAGCCGTTGCTGTGGCAGCAGAGCTTTCCCAGGCGTTTTGGCAGGCATCTCTGAGCCCGCCTGATCGATTGGTGGAAAACTGTCAGCCTAGGCCTTTACTGATGATGTCATCGTTATTGATCTGTCTGTGGGTTGAAATGAAACTAAATAGAAAGCTTCTTTTTTTTACTAATGCATGTGAATGCAATGACAGCAGGGAATGCTGAGAGATGGAGCACAATGTTATTTATGGACAGAAGTATTATTCAGCTGTTGATACTACCATAGCAAATAGATGTGATTTTTGGATTAAAATGTGAATTTCTAAATAATATACATTTTTATATTCAACAAGACAATACATTGCAGTATTCTTAAACTGTTTTAATAAGGGAAAAATCTACTTATGTCTCTGAACGACACATCAAATTTGATTTGTTACAGTTTGCGTTTGTTCGTTCACTTTAGAGTTTGTTTTTGATCTGTTCTGCTCATGTCTGTGTTTAGGTTGGTTTTCAGTCTGTTAATTGGTTTGTCTCTCCCTATTTGTCACAATGGTTTCAAATTGATTGTTAGTTCTGTTCAGGTGTGTCTTGTTAATTAGCTCCTTAGTTGCTGTCTATTTAAACCCAGTGTTTCACTCAGCTGTTTGTAAGATCTGTTGTGTTTAGTTAGTTGGTGTGTTTATAGTCCTAAGAGTTTGTTTTATTAGGCTATATAAAATTGCTGCACTTAGATCCTGTGTCAACTCTGCTGCAACCAGCTGGTGATAATTCTTCATCTAAATAATAGTTTATTGCCCCTCTTTTTTATTTACATTATTATGCACATCTAGGCCTTATGTTTGTCATTTTCACCAGGGTGTTAATAAAATTCTAAATCGATTCCTATTTTATTCCTTAATTGTCATATTACTTTTTTTTTTAACCATTTTAGTTACATATTTTAGGTCTCTATATATAGATTATTTAAAAAAATTCTGGTAAGCATCTGCTGGAGGCAAAAAACTCACTTTAAAATAATTGCAAGTCACTCTGAATAAAGGCAAAGATATTCGGTACACTGAGAACCTCGATGCTTAGCTCACTTTGCAATCACCCTTCACTTTCTTGTATGCTACTCTTTTCTGCTTTTTTTACCTGCTGCTCCCCTGGTATTACAGTGTCTTGACACAAAGATATCTTTGTGCTCTAAGCAGTCACAAAGTGCTCAGAGTCTCGGCATCAAGTTCCCTCATCAGGGAAGAACAACAAGGGCACATAGAACGGATTATACTTCTTGCTCTCCTCCTCCAATGACATTGGGGCAATCAGAGAGAGAGAGAGAGAGAGAGAGAGAGAGAGAGAGAGAGAGAGAGAGAGAGAGAGAGAGAGAGAGAGAGAGAGAGAGAGAGAGAGGAGAGACAGGTGTGCTCAGTCTGTAATGAACTCAGTATTATAGGATCACAGTAAGACAGACATGGATTATGTCCGTTTTCATTAGTATTGACATCATTGCTTGTGTCTCAATCTCAAATAAGAACAAGACTGTTCACCAGCTTTTGGGACTGTTCCTCAAACTTCAGGACGCGGTTTCTGCATCTTCATTGTAAGGACATGTTAAAAACCTACCTTTTTCTGTCATAGCTGTAAATTTGCCACTTGAAGCTCTCTTTATCTGTCACTCGCTCCCTTTTCTCTCCCTCTTTCCCTCAGACCCAACCCGTCGTTAGCGGGAGGAGTCCCACCGGTGGACCTGAGGGACAGATAGCAGTGTTTCACGAGTTCGGCGGATCGTTTGACGACTCCAGGGGTCCGAGGTCCGCCGGGTGGGTGGTTATTGGGGTCGTCGACTCCGTAACAGGCGAGCGACATGCTCCCTCCTCGGAGAATCACGGGCCGAGAGCGGAGAGCATTTAACTGGCGGACCACCTCACCATGGACCACGTAAGTGAACTCTCTAAGATTTCACTATAGATGCTTTGTACGTTTTTCCTTAGAAAGACGCGGTACTGTCTTCGTTGTGGTGAGTTTGAGTGACATTTAAATGACGGTGTTGTGTGTGAATGCGCGCGAGCACCGCTGGATTAATAACGGTCTTTTTCTCTCCATCTCACACGCACGAGCGTGATGAATTGACGCTGTGATGCGCGCGCTCCCCCTAAAATTCCTCACAGTTTAGTTTATTGGGTTTCAACCGAACCAGAGTATCATTCGGTCTCATTCAAATAGGAATGTCAGAGGATTTTAATATGTCATGCCATGGGTATTAAAAACTCGATAAACATGTTGAATAATACGCTATAGCCCACGTTTTCAAGTAAATGTATGTTTGAGAACTACAGTTTCGAAAAAAATGTGGTGCTATTCAGTTCTGTTATAGGCTAGATTTACAATCTATTAATTTAGCCAATGTCTGCTTGTGAGAACAGTTCAACCTCCTCATTATTAAGTCCGACTTTACATTAAAGGAATATTAGGCTACTGTTGGTTAGGTTTACAAAGCAAGTGAATTATACACTTCAAGATTGAAAAAAGATAGCCTTGAGAAGCATTGAGTTTCTCAGATTCCTTCTGGAGAACATTTAAGAAACCTTTCAAAGTGGAGGCTTGTTCTCTCAGCCTATGCATTTTAAATAAAACTCAATGCCCATCAATTATAAAGTAAAGATTTTGAGGCACTTGAAACATGTATTGAAGTTCCTACTGTACCCAATACAAAACTGCCTGGAGGTTCAATCTCATGCTACTTTAAGTGAATTGCCAAATTAGCCTGAACAATAAAAAGTAACATGGAAACTGTGAACTAAATGTTACCTGTATGTTTATTTATTTATGATAATTTTAAGAGATATAATTTATTTATTTTTGAGATATAATTTTAAGCTAAAGCAAAGCTTCATATGCATGTAAAGTCTGATGAAGCAACAAAGGCTTCATCCATGTCAAGAAGTTATTAAAACTGTTTGTGGTCAATGGATGCATAATTTGATAACTTCTCTCAGGAAAGATGTTTTGATTTATTTATTCACCTCTATAGCTTGATTAATTATTATGAAAAAACTAGTGTGAATGTGTCCTTTGTGCAAATGTGATGAGAGAAGAGGCTGAGTTCTCTATTCCAGATGTTTCTTTAGCCTGAGGTAACACGAGCGGTTTTGTTAAAGAGTTTAAATTTTTTCCTCATGTTTGCATGTTTTTCTGTTTCTGTCTGTGTGACCACAGCCGTCACCAAATCATTGTTATGGAGGAAGAAAAAAAACAAAAAATCAATGACTGCGTTCTTTAGGTCAAAACATGTTGATTATATTCAGTAAACATGCATTGTTTAAAACTTAAACTTACTATACATCTTTATATTCCATCTATTGCTTATAAAATGTTTTAACTATGCACTTGTTCATATAACCTTTTACAAAGAAAAACAGGCTGTTCTCATCAGAGGAGTTCAAGCATGCCATACGAATTGTTTAAAGATGTTTTCATTCATCTTTATGACAAGATTAAATGTACACGTTCCTTGCAGACTTTAAACTCTATTTAATGCAAGTCAAGATGATTCTTATAAATCACGTATTTTTGTTCGAAAATATGTTTAGCTCTAATTGCAACCTTTATTTTATCTATTAAATCCACTTTCAAACAGGATCTCAAATATGGACAAAAAAATTATATTTACTGTAAGCTAATGCATGAACTTTTGGATCTCTTGTGCTTTTTGTTTAGGACAAAATTTAATTGGGCAAAGAGGTAGTTTGTCATATTTTAGAACATATAAATTAAGCTGTCAAAAGTTTGTATAATTCGTACTGCCTTTTGTGAATTGACTCGGGTATTGAAAAGTTTAGCTGGAGTTTAGAACGTCAGGACTGCTGTTTCAGCATAGTGTGGTTTCGTTTCCTTGGTTAGAGGCAAAACATTCTTTCTCTCTCTCTCTTTGTGTGTGTTGAAAATTAAAATGCAGTCAATGACAGCAGCAGTCTAATTTTAACCTGGCAAATGACTGTCTGTAATTCATTTATGCTGATCTGTAGATGACTCGAACCAAGCGATTTATGCTGTGGCCACATAAAAACACAGAAGGGGGCAAGAAGAGAGAGAAAAAGAGAAGTCCAAAGGTGAAACCAGACCTTTGAGCAGGGTATCATGTATTCTACTTTAATAAAAAGGAGGAACCATGAGGGTACAAACATCAAGTTGAAAACAACCTGCTCACTTTTGAAAAGAATTTAATATGTATTTGTATATGGTGTGTATAATTGTACAGCTCAAAATAGCTGACTTGTATTTGAACATATGTAAAAATGTAATTTACTCTGAATTTTCAGCACCATTACTCCAGTCTTCATTGTCACTTCATAAATCATTTGAATATGCTGATTTGATTCTCAAAACCATTTCTTATCATTGTTGAAAACGGTTGTGCTGCTTAATATTTTTGTGGAATTTGATAGCCTTCTTTTTTCGGGGGTCATTTAAGAACAGTCCGTTCAAAAGAACAAGTCGTTTTTAATATTGCAGTGATATCTGTGGGGAAGAAGTGCCACAGTGCAGACAGCAAAGAGGATAAGGAAAGGAGGATCTAACTGCAAGGAGTAAATTCAGGGGCTAGAACACTTAACCAATTTGGAAAACAAAGACCTTTTGGACAAAGAGTCCATGGGGAAATGGGAAGATAGTTTAAGGAGGAATGAGAGTAAAAATCATGGGGTAAATTCAATTGGAGGAAGAGTCCATGGTGGAGTCGGCAGAAGAAGGAGAGCCATGGAGGAGACAAGGCAGGGAGCAACCCAGAGCAGAGCCATTTGGAAAATAAATGAAATAAAAAAAAAACAGACTGTGGCAAATTGGCTCTAAAGAAATATTAATAATAAATCACAACTTGTTAAAATTAATTATGAATATTTGGATCAGTTAATAATTAACTTGAAGTAAAATTTATATTACAATCAATCCACCTGTTCGTCCCATGTACACTCAGTGTTAATTGTTTTTTAACTCTAAGAAATGTTTCCAAAAAAAAAGTGGAGTATCCTTTTAAAACAATCTTTACCTGTGCTCTTCCTGTCTAACAAGTAGGAAATTGAATACAATTATCAAACAATCTTCACTGCATAAATTATAACACACTTATCTTATTTTCTCACATCTCTTTATGTTCATTTAAGACTTTATATAACTAATAGGATACTCGACAAAACGGACATTTTGGCATAAATGTGTGTTCTTGTTTGTTCAAGCTATAAGTTATAAAACTCATAATACTGGCGCGTGTTGTGTGTGTGTCAGGGCATTCACAGACAGCACGATCTCTTTCGTCTTGTCGCATTTGAATGGTTTAAATTAAAGCATTAGGCTATGCTTAAAGGGATACTTCAGGATTTAGCATTTAAGCTTTGTATTTGTAGAAAATCTGTAGTATTTTCAAATTACCATGCTTTCCACCCTCATATCCCCCTGAGATGAGAGATTTATGTATTTTTTGTCAGGAAAATATCCTCCGATGATGCAAAATGGCGATTTTTGCGTCATCGGAGGAAATTTTTCTGACAAAAAAATACATAAATCTCTACTGACTGTAGCTAAAGACTACAGTCAGTATTAGGGGTTGTCCCACAAGTTCTCAACCCACCCATAGAGGGTGGGATCTCACTCACAGAATGAACACATAGTGTCAGCCATCTTTTTTTGGAAGCTAAGCGTGCAGGCTCTTGTTCTGTGGAGAAAGATGAATAACTTGGTAGGAGAAAGCTGAGTAGTAGGTGTTACTATTTATCCTCTTTTTCCCGGACATGTCCGGCTGTCGAGATCGTACAAAATGTCTGGGATTTAGCTGCACTTGCCATTAATTGCTTAAATGCACACCTTTTGTGTCAATCTAACCGAATTCATTACAATTGGTGAATCTGAATGTAGTGTTTGTTTGCTAAACAATTGATCGGTTGATGTGCGTTTTAACTTTGCTAAGAAAATTCCCGCTCCTCCGTGAGAGATATGAGACTGGTGCGTCTCACAGGTGTCTCTCATCAGTAATCACGCCCTCGGCCTCGTCCTGCTCACCACAGTAAACATAATGAATGGCGACTGTAGAACGCAAAAGCCGAATCCTGGACATTTTGGGTGATCTCTCGAAATCCCGGGCAGACTCATCAAAGAGACTCACTATAGTAGCCTAGACTTGTTGTTCAACCACTGCGCTCTGTTACCGGTAGGTGTGGCCTCCTAGGGCAGCGAAGCAAGTGCATTCTGGGAGTTGTTGTCTTTCATCCACATAAGCCAAAAAAATACATTTTCTGGCTTTTCTCAGTCTGGAAAGAAAACAATTTCACATTTTTTCTATATAAATTACCCATTTTAAATAAACCTTCATCTTTTCAGAAGTAAAGTATCCCTTTAAATTCTCACTCTGCTTAAATTCTCACATTTACAGAACTTATCGTCTGTCGACTGTTCAGCTAAGCTGTATATGCATGTATCGAACTTTCATTCACTTTGTTTCTCTTTGTTGTTTATTAACCTGTGGTTCCTTCTGAACTGTTTACAGGTGTGTAAGAGTTGCGTGTTGCAGTCGTCTGCGTTTTATGTGGTTCACTCTGATGGTCCTGACTGTCCTCTGCATGGCGCTGCAGATGCTGGGAGTGGTCCGACAGCCCAGGTTAAGCTTGTTTTAAAATTCATGCGAATCGGAGTGATTTGAAAACTGCTTTTATGTCTCAAAACACTCTCCTTGTCCACACTGAAACATCGAAAAATGCTTTAATCACCCAGTACTGCACATGTGTAAAATATAATAAAAGCTCACTGAGATAACATTTTATTACAAAAATATCCCACCACTTACTCGTAAATCAATGTCACACTCAAAATCGCTATTTCATGAATGGTCTAATAATACTAATAAATACTTATAAACTTAATTTAAATAGCACTTTTAACGCTATATAGTGCAAAGTGCTTTACAAAAGGTAAAATAGACATGAAGAGCTTTACAAAAAATACTGAAGTAGTAAAACGACATGAAGAGTTTTACAAAATATACAAAGATGCCTACATAATAAATTAAACACAAAATACTACATAAAACAAAAGATACAAAAACACACATAAAGACTTCTCAAAGTAATAAATGTCAATACAAATACATTTTAAAATTATTATTCATTCATTTGCAGGCACAGATTCCGTAAATCTAATATCCACTGGGAGGTTATTCCATAATATTGGAGCCTTCACTGCAAAAGACTCTGAAACATTTTGATCTGGATCTTGGAACAGCCAACAAAACAATGACTAAAAGATGTGGGGCATTTATTAAGGTCTTAAAAGTTGCGTTAAATACTTAAGCACAAATCCATGTAGTGATTTTTATCAATAATAATAATAATAATATCTTAAAATCAATAGGTCTCATCTTTACTGATCAAAACTTGACTCAACCAACTTCTTGATATCATTTAAAACATTCACATGGTATCAAAGTAAACACCCAAATTGTTCACTTCCTGCGGGAAATTAGGTAACACCTTATTTAAGAGCTGACTCAACCTGACTTTTATTAGAGCCCTGACCGATTATCTCAACTTTAGTTTGATCAGTATTCAATTGCAGAAAATTACAAACCATCCAGTTTTTTTCATATATCTGCTAAGAACGAATGAAGAACATCTAAGCCTGTCAGATCACAGTGACTGTATAACTAACTGTAAGTCATCTGCATAGCAGTGCAAATGAATGTGATGTTTCTGGATTACGGATCCAAGAGGTAAATTGTAAACAAAATTGGTCCCAACAGGGAGCCCTGTGGAACATCATCACTCCCTGAAACTCCAACCTATTAATGTATCAATAAAGATTGAATGGTGAACTATGTCACTATGAACAAGTCAGTCTATCGGACAATAAGCAGCACTAGGCAGTGGGTTGAACAAATTATTGATGGTTTTGAATAAAAACCCTGCTTTGTGGCAGTTATTACTTAAAATGTTGATTTTGAGCATTTTAAAGAGTATTTTAGTACAAGAACTTAATTTGACTGGAGCAATTGAGTCTAATATTGATGAACATAAATAAGAAACATTCACATTCACTGTTGAGTCTCAAACAATTATAATGTCTCTGGGCCTAGTGGACTCATTATTTGAAGAGAAATAACGTAAAAGCGTCCTACTCTAGGACGATTACTGGTGGAAGAAACCGGTTGTGGTGGTGATGGAGAATTCCTTCTATTTTTCTTTGTTCAAACATTGGCTCGCTGTAGTGACGCTGCATTCAAATGTATCCATTGATTGAATACACCATTTTTAGGATTTACCGAATCCACCGGGATTTCTCCGACAAGCCTCAGGCTGTTTCTTTCTCAGCAAATTAGTCTAACATTGAAGAAGATAAATAATTAAGAAGCCATACAAACATTCAGTTGTCATTGTGTCCCCAATAATCAAAATATGTCTGGCCCTAGTAGAGTCATTAGAGAGGAATTTAAAAACTCAAACATCTATTCCTGCAGTTTCTTTCTCTCTAGCAGATTGGACTGCCTCTTTAACAACTTGTGAATTTAATTTTCTAGTAGCTTTAACTCAACCTCAATTTCATTATATTCCGACACAAAAACGCCTGTATAATCGGCATTCACCGTGGGGGCTTTATTAGGCATCGATCACTCAAGTTCTCTGCTGTCTTGAGACTGCAACATAATCATAACATAATCGCAATTGTTGTATTATTCGTAATATGCAATTGCCTTCATGTTTTGCTGCAGAACACAGCCATTTTCTGTCATTTTCGCAGGAATATAATATGAATATTATTGTACTAAATAGCAATGAATGGCAGGCACAAAGTGCTGGTATAACCATAGATAACTATGGCTACAAATGCGTTACATGCATGTACGTTTTCTAATGTTTTCGATTTCAAATTTTCACTGTCCACATAATGCGAAAATAGAACTGCTATACTGTACATAGGACTAAAAACGGTGTCTCAATGTGGATGGATGGCCAAAAATAAATGCATTTTAAATGCATCCAGATTGATGTATAGTAAATATAACATAGAGGGAGACTTTTTAGCTTAGATTTAACCACTTTCATTGGATGATATTTCCATTAAAGACAATATATAGGACATTAAATATTGCTTTAATTGTGTAAGTTCGATTGGGGTCAATATCTAAAATGTACTGTCTCTTTCTCTCTTGTTTAGGAGTTCCAAGGTTTTGAAACTTGTGAGTGAACAGCTGGTCAAGATGCCTACAGATATCCATAGACCCGTGAAACGCATAGACTGGGAAAATCTGGGAAACCTTTGGTCTGTCTCAGCAACCACTGTTGAGGAACCAGTCGACCAGCATTATTTCATACAGAAAATAGGCGAGAGCCTAAACCTTCATTTAGAAGAGGAAAGGGACCAGGTCTTGAAGGTTACAAGAACAAAGCTCACCAGCATTACCAAAGACGTTCCACCAATAGAGCCGAACAAACTCTTGCTTGACCAAGAAGTGGATAAACGATTTCAGCACCAGCCAATTATCGACGAAAATGACCCTGAAATTCAAAAACCACCACACTCTGATAACGATACTGATCAATATACATTAAAATCAGAAGCTGCCACGTGTCAACCCAAAAAACGCATTGTCTTCCTCAAGACGCACAAGACTGCCAGCAGCACCATATTGAACATTCTCTATCGTTACGGGGACAGCCATAACTTGACGTTTGCCTTGCCGCTGAACATGCACAGCCAGTTATTTTACCCAGCCTTCTTTGCAGCACATTTTGTGGAGGGTGTCAGGACTCGCAGCGTGAAAGAGTTCCACATCCTGTGCAATCATATGAGATTCAGCTCACAAGAGGTCAGTCTGAGAGCACATTACTTCCAAGAGTTGCAGGATTAGATGAATAAAAGAACGATTTGGGATGTTAAAAGGGACGGGTTTGAATAGAAGCCCTAAAATGCTGTGGATTGTATATATATATATATATATATACTGTATATATAATATAATATAATATAAACATGGAATAATAAATAAGGAGAATGCAATCATTACTTTTTATTATGAGTCTGGGTTTAAGGTAAAAAAAAAAACATGCAGTGCATATGGGTACTGTTTTTGAATAAAATTTAAATTTGATTAAATAGCATTATGTGATTTTAACCAACTGATGCTAGAGAGCAGATGGAGCAGACTCCAAATAAAAATGAATGCCTCTTTTATGTCACTTCTTATATGTTATATTGATTTGGCCTTATATTTAATTGGTTGACCCTCTGGTACTGTTCACTTATTGGTCAAAAATGATACTAATGCAGTAGTTATAATGCATGTATTCACTTTTTGAACATGGACCTGGAAATGAAATTTCCAACTTAAACTGTCATAAATCTTGAACGCTTTAGAGCACAGACTTAAGTTTTGTTTCTTTTTGGCAGATTATTTTACTTTTTTATTATTATTAACTTGTAATTACTTATTATTTTAACTTGAAAAAAGTTATTCAATTTTTACATTTATTATGAAAAATGCACAATACCATTTTCATTTTTTATATGAAATACATATTTTGCAAAACACGTTTACCATACTCTAAAACTGAGAAAATCAAATCCATAAATCTTAAACTGTGTTCCAAAATTAAGGCTGAGGTCTCCAAAGCTCCCAGTTTTCAGTAAGAATTTGTTTGGGCGCAGAACGAAACTTTTCCAATACATTAATCTCCCATTCTTTTCCAATGCGGTCATTTTTGACTGTGAACAATACAAGAGTGACTATTTTTTCAAGACCATTTAACCTTCAAGTCTTGTCCATGATTTTATTTTTATTTATTTTTTTGTGTTCAAAAAGCAAGTGCCAAAACCTTTACCAAGTTTCGTACCTCTCCGATGAAATTAGTTTACAGCACCAAAGGGTTAAGCAATTGCCATTAAGGACATTTAAGCTGAAGAAGTTTGCAATTTTTTCAAGACTCTCAGTGTTATGAATGCAATCCTGAATGTGCGTAGACAACTTGGCAAGCACATAAATCATTTGAAACAACTGACTATTTTAATTTTCAAGAGGAAGACAAATCACCCGGTGCTAGATTGATGTAGGCAGGTGCAGATCCCAATGATTTAGAGAACATTTGCACTGATTGGATGGAGATTGCATTCTGTGATGGAAAAGTTAAGCGGGCTTTGTTTGTACGTCTTTGACAAAGAACAAGAGGTCAGAATTTCTTCAAATTGTAAAAGTTTGTAAGTTAGTCAAAAAACAGTATTTTTTTTTAAAAAAAGATTGTGTTCATAAGCTCATATTGTCTTTAAATCTTTCTGACATTCAGGTGAGGAAGTTGATGCCTAAGGACACATTCTACTTCTCCATTCTTCGGAATCCGGTGGCGATGATGGAATCCCTGTTTGTTTACTACAAAGCGATCCCGGCATTCCGCGTCGTCAAAAGCCTCGAGGAGTTCCTGAACCAGGGTGGGCGGAGCTACAACACCTCCGTGCCTAACAACCACTATGCACGTAACATTTTGACCTTTGACTTCGGTCTGGATAATACAGCGCCAGTGAACGACACCGATCTGGACAGGCGTAGCGCCGAGGTCATCACTGCTGTGGAACGCGACTTTCCGCTGATCCTCATCTCGGAGTATTTCGATGAATCACTGGTGCTTCTAAAGCACGCCCTCTGCTGGTCACTGGACGATATCTCGTCTTTCCGCCTCAACAGTCGCAGTGAACGCTCTCGGCGACCCTTAAATGCAGAGACCGCAGAGCGGGTAAAACAGTGGAATTCACTAGACTGGCGATTGTACCAGCACTTTAATGCCACTTTCTGGAAACGCATTGACTCCACACTCGGACGGACGCAACTCCGACGGGAAGTAGAGCTTCTGAGGGCGAAGAGGACGAAGCTTGAGCAAATGTGTTTACAGGAAGGAGGGGCGGTTGATCCTGTGCAGGTCAAGGATTCGTCATTAAAGCCGTTTCAATATGGTGCAGCAGTTATTCAAGGTTATAACCTCCGACTGGGGTTGAATAATGACACTTTTGGGCTTTGTCAGAGGTTGATTACGCCTGAACTGCAATACACATCAGCCTTGTACACCAAACAGTTCCCTCAGCTGGCGGCCGCACGTGCCGCTGTCGCAAAAAAGATTGCGGCCTCCAGAAACATTGCAACGCACAGAGCTGTTAAACGCAATATTGAGACATACGTGCGCATAGCAGTGACAAACAATACCTCACATAACAATACAAATACAGCCATTGGGGATGAACATGGCTTAGACGTTTTGCGTAATTCTGTTGTTCGTAGTGAGCGACAAGGCAGTTTTGAAGTACACAGCGTAACCAAACGTCATAGAAAAGGAGACTCGGATAAACGCACTACGCAAAAACCCGTAATGAACTCAAACATACATAAGGAACCGCACTAATCTGCTTTGTTGAGATGAATTACTTGATGAGAATTCAGAACAGAATTAGTTAACTCAAAGGAGCAGTCAGAAATGAGCGGAGATTTCCCAGGCAAAAAAAAGTCTGTTGTCTATGGTTATTAGTGCAGCGACACCTGAAGCACGGCTTAAACCGAGCAGCTTTCTGTCCATCAACCTGGATGAATTCTGTGTTTTCGGCCTCACTGATTCCAGTCCTGATCACGTAGATTCCAGTTGACTGGATTTAAATGACGCAAACGTTCTCAGAGGAACGGTCAGTGCCATCCCAGACATGGGGCCCAGTTTGGCGGCCCAGTGCGAGATAGAGGAAGCGGCCATAGGCCCTAAAGCATGAGGCCCGGTGCAGTCGCACTGGTTTCTCCTCTCTAATGGTAACCGTAATGTGGCCACGCATTACAAAAAGATCAGTTTAGTCCAGGGCTTTAATGAAAAATCCAACTCTTTTGACAAATTGATCAAAAATACAAGTTTGAAAAAAATGTTCATTGACTTGAATCAACATCTGAATCGCTTTCTACTTTAAGTTATTATTACTTTCAGTGATGTCTGTATTGAAATCAAGCTAGTATCGTTAATGGCTGATTTTCCACATGACAATGTCTTTTTGAATAAATGAAAAACTTGCAATGTTTGTATTGATTAATATATTGTTTCTGCCTATAAATTACATCCATTGATGTATTTATGCTTTGTCCTCCAGCAAAACCATACCTGAAACTTGATCATTTTGGTTGTTATAATAGTACGGGATATGATTATATGCTGTGAGACAATAATAATTGAGTGTGATTCACTGTCTTAGATGACAAAGTAAGTCTTGTTTCACTTGACTGCACTTTCTGTTCTGATAAGAATCAACTCTTTTTTTTTTTTTTTTTTTTGGTTGGAAATTAGTTTCCATTTTAGCCTGGTTTATAGAGCCTTTTCAGCTGTTTTATGTGTTTTGGGAAATGCAAAACTTTCTGTACCACACTGGCTAAATATGACTTTGCTAGTTCTCTAAAACCAAAGGTTCAGATTTCCACTATGAGTCAGAAGATTATATAAGATGGATAAAGTTGGCCTTTTGCAAAAGTATAAATCCAGTTCAACTAGGTTTTTGTTACAGCACTAATTTGAAATTGAACTGAGACAACACTGTTGTAAATAACTTGGAATATATACATAATCTTTCTAAATCCAGCTATTTATTTTTGTACCATGTGGCTTTTCAAATTGATTTGTTGTTAAATATGGAAATATGTCTCTGGCAATTTCAGACGCATGAATCAGAGCCTAATACAAAATACATTGAACAAATTTCTCTTATTTTTTGGTGCTTTCTGAACCATCTTAGAAATACAGCGGCCTCTAAATGTATTTTGACACCAAGGACACAAACTTAAAAATGCATGAGTTTGTCAGTGCTGTGGCATATTGTGCACATGCTGTCGGCTTTGAGTCTGACCCGAATCATGTGCTGATCCTATTTTCCCTGTCTATCACTTTCCAGTCTGCATTTTACTGTTAAGACAAAACCCCCAAAAATAAGCTAAATGTATGAGCTTCATTGTATCAAATCTGCAAACAAATTATGTTAGAACTTTTCTCAGAAGAATTAGCTGGTGTTAATCAGTTTAAAGATTTTTTTTTTTTTTTTTTTTTTTTCGCTGTGATGCCATAGAAGAACCATTCCGGTTTCCCAAAGAACAAACCGTTCTCAAAATAAATGTATTTTTTCTTAGTCTGGAGACCTTTTTTTTCCACTATAAAGATCCTTTTGTGTAAAGGAAAGGTTCCATGGATGTAAAAGGTTCTTTGTGCAACCATCGATTCCAATAAAGAACCTTAATTTTTAAGAGGTTATAACCACATGTAGTTCATCACAATAACTATGAACATGATCCATCCATTTCCAGTCTCAATCTATTGTTTTGTCAATAAAAGCCTAAAGGCCCGTTCACTCCTAACAATAACTGTAAAGATGACAAAGATTGGTCTAAAAAGTCCAAAACACATCAATAACAGCACAGAGAAACAATGTTGTTGGAATCACTTTCAGAATGACCTTTTCCCTCCTAGAAGATAAACGATAAAACATTGACAGCTAATCAAAATCCATCCTGCTTTAAAAGCTCAAGCGTTTAAAACGGCAGACGACAAAACTAGAATATACAGGATGATATTGTGTGTCATTCAGGCCTTTAAGGAACAGTTTATCCAAAAATGAAAATTCTGTCATCATTTACTCACCCTCATGTTGTTCCAAACCTGTATGAATTTCTTTATTCTGTTAAACACAAAAGATATTTTGAAGAATGTTGGTATGAATATATAGTATGGGGGGGGGGGAAATACTATGGAAGTTAACGGGTTCCTTCAAACTCATAAAGGTTTGGAACAACTTGAGGGTGAGTAAATGATGACAATTTTTTTTTTTTTTTTTTAAATCGGTGAACTATTACTTTAACAAATGTCGTTTCATACATGGTTTGCTTGAAAAGTGAACATTATATCTTTCTTTAAAATAAATTTCTTGGTTTGGCATTTGATTATGTAACACAATGACTAGTGTGCTGTGTCCAAATATGTATTTAACAGAGCATCTGTTCCTCACATGTGGAACCCTAATTAATATAAATGTTCTGTATTATGATGGATGTAATTGAATGGACATCTACAAGACCAGCCTGGAAAACTAATACATCATTGAGGCTAATTTGAATTAACTGATGCTAAGGGCTAATGCCTAAGTTTCCAAAGTTTCACCAGCCTTACTGAGACCCCGAAGGACCCGGACCTGGGTCATTATACCAGAATATGACTTACCAGCCTTGAAAGATCATTTGAACCAAAGTCTCAGAGCTTTAATCTCACAGCCTGCTTTAATGTTTGGGAGCAATATACTTCAAATGTACAGCAACTTAAATCTCTGAAAGCTATATTTGCAACTGTTTCTTATTTATGAATAAAAGATGATTTTCTGATGATGGTTGTCTTTGTGTATCATATGTTTCCATCAATTACAATACAAATATAAACTCTGCTTTTTGCCCTGAGTTCACATATTTTATAGAGGAATGAGTTTTGTGGCGCAAACTTGGAATCAAACAGTGGATTTGTCACTTGACTAAAAGTCAAAGCAAAAGAGGAGTTGTGTTTGAACAAACTTTCACTAAGATGTTTTTCCTCAGCATTGTCCTAATGATGTATTTGGATAGACATGAAAGACTTTTTAATAACGAACTTGGATTTTAGGAGTTTCAACCGTAATAAAACAAATGTCAGGATGTGGCCAAATGTCTCAACAGAACATTAAACAAGTAAAAAACAAACCTAAAAATATCTGCTATATAAAAAACAGTGATGTAGGCAGCTGTTTTCAGAAATAACAAAATCACCAAGTTTAAGATGCGTCACATTTCTTGTTTATAGTTTCTTATCTGTATTATTATGTGCATGCGTAGAAGTTACTATGAAATATTTTGACATTAAATATATTGATAATGAACAATAGTTAATATCAATCATTAATTATTCCACGTAATTGTGAATAAGTAGCTACATTTCATCTGTTCAGTAAAATTATAGGTAGGCTAACTACTTTTGTTTTTTGAGTTTGTTTTTCGTGGCGATTGTCGCCCTCTTGTGGAGGCATTTAAAGATAGGCTACTTTACCGCGATAAACTGGAGCTGAAGATCCTCCTTCTCTCCAAACAACACAGCAGCTGTGCTTGTCTTTTCCGGTTTGCATCTCCAGGTCCAGGGGAGATGAATCAGTCGGACTAGTGTTGGTGAGTACCAGATGTTACACTGCACCTCACAAAGTGAAATTAGCTGTGCACAGTAGGCTAGGCTACCACAAAACTTACCATGATGAAAACCAGACATAGGGTCTCAAAAGAATGTATGATGTCGTTTTTACCTGGTTTAACAATCATTTATTGATTATGTTTCTTAATATTTAAGATTGATTAGGGGAAAAGTGTTTAAACGTGATGTGACCATGTTATAAGCCACATAAAAACAAAAATTCATGGTTTCTGCCAAATCCTTTCAAATGAATGAGGCAATGTCAATCCTCCATGACATGATGACATTGATGGACAACTCCAAATTACCCAAATTACTTTATTGTAATGTTAATGATAGGTATATGTTGGAAACTGTGGTTTGTTTGTTCTTATATTTATAATGTAATATGTCTATTTCAGACAGCATTGTTTTACAGGCCTCATGTTTAAACTTTCAGTCACTTTCATAAAATGTGAAATTCTTTCATGTTTCTGCTTTTGATCATTCCACAATTGGCAGAGAAGGACCGAACTGATTATGCGTATAAAAAAAAAAAAAGCTTGAAGCTGATGTAATGATCATAATGCCGCAGGATGTTGTTGGGGCGTAAATTGCTTTCTTAGTTGACTGACAGGTGTTGAAAATATCTTGATCCTTTGAGGTGTTGCATGTTGCCTGATGTAATTTTTGACTTTATTTGCACTGGAGATTTTTCGTGATTGAATCTGGGGTGCTTGGAGAAAGAAATGAAATATTGTGGATCAAGGAAAAAAGAAGAAGAAAAGAATATAAAGTAGGATGGGGTTTAAGAGACGTATTTGAAAACATAGTGAGATTTTTCTCTCTCTATTTTATTTGTCATAATTAAAAGTTTCACCCTCCAACAGCAACAGACATGGACTGAAAGCAGCAGCTGTTATGAAACACCCACACGATCTGCAGTAATACAGTCATTAGTGTCAGAGTTCCAGCGTGAATCATGAGACCTGAAAAGCATACGCGTTCACATTATTCTAACTGACAATCCAGCCAGAGTTTCAATTCACAATCACTTCACTTGTACTTTTCCCAAAGTATAACCCTTATAGTTAAGCGTTAGTGATGGAATCTGTGCAAAGTTATAACCCAGTACCATAGTTCACCCAAAACTTAAAATTCTACCATCACTTACTCGTTCTCACAAAAAGACACAATAAAAGCACTGTAGGGGTTTTCAAACTGGTAACAGGGGGCTAAAAGGGTGACACGGGGGTCTTTTATAGTCTGTTATATTTCTTAAGCTTATTATCATTTACAGCTTATTATTTGCCTAAGCTGCATGTAGCTTTCAAATCAAATATGAGCCAGACAGGATTTAAAATTTTAGGTGAACTATTACTTTAGGTTTTATTTAAGCTCCAACTAATTCTGTCTAAATATATACAGCATGATTATTTTAAAAATATATATATTTTTAATTAAAAAAGGTAATATATCCTCACAATTGGTGATGCTGTATTGATTAATGCAGTTCACATCATCAAGACAGTTATGATCAATTATGATTTTTTTTTTCAAATTGTGTGTAGAGATGTCTTTCATCAAATAATATCAAGAAAAAATGTATTTTATTTTTCTTTTAGAGTTCAAAACATTATGAAATGATATGAAAGAGTTTCACCGCACTCACGGCAAACAAGGTGCCAGACAGATAACACTTGACAACCAAAAGAACAAATTGTCTGCACACTTGAGTCCTTCAAGCCAAATTTATGCTAAGCTTTCGGTGATACAACCATCCTCAGGGCATACACAAACAAAATGTTACCTTCCATTTGACTATGTTCAACTAGGACAATCAACAGTGATAACCCACACCTGCAGAGGCTAGGTAGGGACAGTTGTAGTCCACTGGTGGGAGTTGTAGTTTTTTAAGGTGATCAACCCTAACTTCACTTAAGTGAAGAAGTGAAAAAAGTGAAAAAAACAAGAAACAGACGTGAATATATACAAAAAGTATACACAAATATAGGTACATATACAAATATACCCACACATTCATTCCTGCTTACAATATAAGTACATGGAGACTGCAAAAACATCAGAAACACCGTCATAAACTGCAGTATACAAGACTTAAAAAAGGAACAAAAAATCAATACAGCTATGACTAAAGCATGACACTCATGTCAAAGTCCACATTTAAACCTTTAGGATGTAAAGCGTCCAAGGTATGGATCCAGTAAAGTTCCCTTTGGCATAGTACTTTATCAGTATTGCCACCTCTAGGTAGTTTAATCTGCTCAATTCCCTGAAAACGGAGAGAAGAAACTGAATGACCACACACTGTAAAGTGACAGGCCACAGGGTAGTTAGGGAGTTCAAAACATTGGAAATGAAAATTTAACACATTCCACGATATATTATCCAGCACATTTTGCTTTAATGTATGGTATGCATTTTACTGATTTAATTAGCAGAACTTTTGCATACTGTACATAGTATATATACTACATACTTTAGAACATCAAGGGCGAGTGTTCTCTGTAGGGCTGTCAAGACCAAAGAGAGGTCCCAAGAGGGGATGAGGCTTGGCTGAGGAGGATTCAACCTCCCATAGCCTCTCAGGAACCTTATGATCAAGTTGAGGTTTCCCAGAGACTTACCGTCTACTGCATCGAGGTGTGCGGCAACAGCGGCAACATACACTTTCAGAGTGGAGGGAGATAGCCTTCCCACCAACTCGTCTTGCAGGAAAGAAAGCAAGACATTGATAGGGCATCTACGGGGGTCTTCCCTGTAAACAAGTCAACATGAGCGACCCCGAAGCATTCCCAAATCTGCTGGACAGGAGTGGAGTCTCTGCCCTTCCTTAGATGTATGCTATCATGAGAGCATGTCGGCTGCATGATTGAGCTCACCCTATGTAAATGGCGCGATGACACCTGAGTTGCTTCTGACCCCATA